TGGCTCTCAAGAAAACATGGTATATATGTACACTTGTAAACTAATTCTATCAATGAAATAGTACATAAAATGCAAAATTTGTATACAACTTATTCTTCATTCATTTAAACAGACTATACATTATTAAACCTATAGTTCCTATGGCAACTCATCTTCACGCTGACTCGATTGAGTCTGCTTATCACTAAGCTTTCTTTTGATAGCAACCTTAACCTCCTCTTCTCTCTTATCGACAAAACTTAACAAATCCTTGAAACTACTTAACCTCGAAGGGCGCTTATCAGTCGTTTGAGCCCGAGAATGACTCGATGGCGCAGACTCATCTGTACTATTACTGTATCTGTAGTACTGACAGAAAATCCTCATGAAGAACACAACAAGGGCAATGAAACATGCAAGGCCACAGATAAGGAAGAGACCCCAGAAGCTCCCTAGGGTTAGCCTGTTTGCATCGATAGTCGTGTCTTTTGATGAGCAACCACTTCGGGTTAGCCATTTGTCATGGATTCTTTGGAGGTCGCCGCTCTCTGATAAGGTTAGGATCGCTGTTGATAAGTCCACTGCAAGAGGAGAGTCCCTTGGAAAAGCCTGTTGCAGAAAAAAGTACATTCTTTTATATCTAAGATTTTCAAGTGGACTGCGCAAATCAATTTGGACACAGATTGACTCAAAAGGATTTACTATTGTCTGAGTTGCAAGTCCAAGCATAGTTAGCCATATACTCATCAGATTGTTTCCAATGTGGGACCTAATCTCATCTCATGCCTTTTGCTAGACTAAACCCACACACCTTGACTGAATGGATGCAAAACTCGTAACATCTAGCAATTTATCACTAGGTACCTTTTTAACATTATGGGTCCTGGAAGCATTGTAACGTTTACCGACCTTTTCTACTTATCTTGCTGAAATCATTGAACTGGTAAAGATCCAAAGCAACCTACTATCCAGAATATGACATCTACTTTTGACAGAAAGGAGATAGGAAGAGTTCTAAGAATAGAATATCACTACTACATGCCTATATTTTTTTGGTATAAGATCATATAACAGATAAAATCTAATATTGTGGAAGTCCTTCTAACCATATACCAAAATTGAAAGTTATGGTGAGAGTTGAGGTTTATATTTTTATATTCTAACATGTCCCCGCTGAGAGCCCTTTTTATGAGCCGAAACTTGGACTCACACAGCGGTGTTAATTTCTATAAAATCCACTTTAAATTGGCGGCCGGAGGAATTTGAACCTAGGTAGCTCTGATGCCATCTTTAAGTTCCTCAAAATCATTACACCAATAACTCCGAAGTTATGGTGAGACTAGAGGTTTATATTTTTATATTCTAACAAATATAGAGGTTATCTTAATTTAACATGCTTGGCTGTGTAGTGTTGGTCTAGCAAGTGGAGGTATTTCACATCATTTATGAAATACTATTAGTGATAAAGGAAGAAAATTTGCTGTATTATTGAAAGAAAGAAGAACTTACAAATCCCCATCCGCTCTTCGTGAATTCCTGACCCACTGTCTTGAAATTACAGAACCTAGACAAGAAGATCTCGATATAAGGAAGCTCATCTACCACTGCAGCAACCCCTCCATTCTTTGGTCCACGCTCAAGAGCATTCGCATAATCTTCAGGTTGGCTTAAGGCTACCAACCTTGATTCTGCAATGTTGAGCTCTTCCACCATATAGTTCTTAGCAAATGATCCAACCTGGTACCCAATTGGATCCCTACTCGAGATTAAACTTTCAAGTCCTTCAACCCGCGATGAAAGTTGTTGAACTGTAAGAATTGATGTCAGGCTTGCAGTGTAGCTTGAATTGATGATTAGTACGACAAAGAGCCATATAATTAGTACAAGTCGTCCAAGCGTGCTCACTGTATTCTCTCCTGAAATAGACCACATTTGAAGATGGAATCAAACGCTATAGAAATCTAGTTGTCACTATCTAAAAGGCTGCACAATCTACTTACGGTGTGCAAAGAACATGGTTGAGAAGCTAAACCTGCAAGAGTAACATGAGTGGAATCAGTTACTGAACATCAAAGAGGAACAAAGTAAGCCATATCTGAGATACAAAAATGTGAACTTGTCTCACTTTACCTCCGGAATTCACTAAACCCCCTGAATTTTGGAGGGTTTTTAACATAACCCCGTGAACTTGTTTCACTTAGCTTCCGAAATTAACACTGAAGATTGATGACTCATGTGCCAAGCATGTAACATAGAAGGACGAAATTGCCCCTCAGTCTTTTTTTGAGGGGAGGTGGTTGTGACTGGGACTGAAATTTGGGGTTATTTTTCAAAAAAGGGTATTTTGGTCATTTGTGAGACACCCTGAAGTTAGGGGTTTAAGTGGAATAAAAAAATTCAGGGCGGTTATGTGCAGAACCCCCAAAAGTTATGGGGGCAAGTGAAAGTAACCCATGCTAGAAACATTAATGGCTGAGAAACAAGCCTAGTTTCAAGAATTGCCATATTAAACTGTGTATCATCACGAATCTTGTCAACATTTTCTCTTTCTGTTCATTTTCACTATTAATATTTAGCCAAATCACACATGTTGCATGCCATTGTTATAATCGATAATTTGCTCTATTAGACAAGAAATTTCAAGAAATGCAAGCTACTGACCAGCAAATTGTTACCATCTGTTGGCGTGGAGTACCTCGGAACTCAGTATTCATCCGATGTTCAAGAATCCAAACTACTGCTCCAACAAAAAGAAAGAAAGCCCCTATAACGCACCACATCTCTAGTGTAAATGGTTTTAGGAAAGCCCAAGGATTTGAGTTCATCTCTTTCACTTGAGCAACTATAATAAGCCCTGACTCACTGAAGGGCTGCGTAAAATCTGCAATCCTTGTGCGGGTTGTTACTATCGAAATGTCCCCTACAGCTGCATCAAAGTACTATATAATAAAATGTATCAGTAAAATGAAATTTGGATGTAGAAAAGAAAACAAATCTTACTATAGGAGGAATACTCACATTGTCAGCGACCTTTTGCACAAGTTCACCATAACTGGGATTTTTAGACCCATTTCCAAATAGAATGAATGTGTATGGAACTGGATATGGCAACAAGCTAACTGCAGACTTAAACACATCGATGCAGTAGCCTTTAACACCATCAGGGCTACTATCTTTTGCAACAAATTCCTTATAACTCGCTCGGTTAGGGACTCCAATCCTTAAAGCCTTCCCATTGTTTGGGAAAACCCAGCCACGAGGCTTCATAATAGTTTCTCCAGGCCAAATAGCACTGTAGAGTTGTTGGCTACTGCTAGAAGTATTTGGGGGTTTTCCATACAGTATTTCCGGGGCAACAATTGAGAGCCCCGAATAATTGGACCAAAACCCTATCCTCCTACAACCAGTTCCACCAATGTTGAGAATATCATAAGCAGGATGAATCAAGTTACCATCCGGACTAAACTGAACTTGACCCGTTAGGCCTGTAAAGTTTGTAAGCAAGACTTTCTCAAGTAACTTGCTGCCTCCTGCAAAGGACCGAAGTGCATCCAAATGCAACGAACTGCCATTTGAATCCCGCAACCTTGGATCACTGGTGAAAGAAACATTATATCCTTCCCTAAGAAACTGGTCGATTGCATGTGCAATTAACCAAACTGAATCATATGCATACAACCCATAAGTGTTCAAATTTGAACTGGTATTCCCTTTACGAAACAAGTTACTCCATCTTGATATAAATTTCTTTTTAACATCAGAATCAGGGGTATGATGACGTAGTGTAACAACACCTTGAATGAGGTTCATCGTATCAGTATCAGTGGGCTCAGAAGAATCCAAGATCGAAGGAAGCCAATCTGTAGCAATCCAAACATAGCCACCAGCCAACATCCCAAGATGCTTTGCAACGGAAAAGACCATGAGACCTGAGTCAGGGTTCACATGAACAACATAAACCCGAGACTCCATCAAGTTTACTTGTACTAGCAGGTCATTAATTGTGTTCTTGTCAGCATTAGGAGGAAACGCAGCTTTGAACGAGATTGTAGAGCGTCTCGTTGCAAGAGCATCGCCTAATGCTGATATCCCTCCTCTGCCATAATCATCATCTACATAGATGGCAATAACCTTCTTCCATTCATTATGTTCAACCAGAGCAGCAACAGCATTCATCTGAAACATATCATTTTGAGTTGTACGAACAAAATAAGGATATTGTAAGGAAGAGAGGACAGGGTCTGTTGCTGCAAAGGAGAGAAGTGGAATGTGGAGTTCATCCACAACGTGAGAGATGACATGAGCAATTCCTGAGGATTGTGGACCTATTATGGCGACTACATCATTTACCATCAACTGCAAGGCTGCATTAAAAGATACTTCTTTCTGTAAAATTTGTCACTTTAGTTATGCAAAGACTTGAACAAAACTGCGAGCAAAGGAACATGGTAATTATACAAGCAAAGAGAACTTTTTTGCTCATACAATGAAAGACTGGTTAATAAACATGGTAATTATACAAGCAAAGAGAACTTTTTTGCTCATAAAATGAAAGACTGGTTAATAACAACCAAGCTACATTAGCTGTCACGGAAAATGGAATCAAATGCAGCTAATGCAGAAATCAAAGGATGTACTAGTGTTTGAAGACCTGTCACACGCGTATGTTGCGCGCCGTGCCGAAGCGTGCTTGCAAACCAACCAAATCGGTGAGCGATGAGAGAAGAACCAAACACGAGTGCAATTCACAAAATTAACAGCCAAAATCACACAAACACAGATATTTACGTGGTTCGGTAAATTGCCTACGTCCACGGAGAGAGGATGGAGAGATTTCACTATATTGAGGAGAAACAACAAGTTACAATCTCTAATAACTCTCAAAATAATCCAACCAATGATCTCACAGTCCCTCACAATAATCTCCCTCACAAAACTGTTCAAAACAATGCTAATTTTCTGGTTAAGAAACCCTAGAAACGTGTGTTTCTATTTATATCAAAACTCAATCCAAAACAGACCAAAAAATCAAATCCGGTCCGTATCAGCTTTCCGGTCGATCGCAAGGGTTGCACCGGTCGACCGGCCAGAGATAGATTCCAAGTTCCTATAATGTGCACATTTTGGTTGACCGGTCGAACTCGTTTGGTCGACCGACCAGAGACAGGGTTTCAGACCCTATAATTTAACAGGTTATTGGTCGACCGGGCCTATGTCGTCGGTCAGCCGACCCGAGAGAAACATGCAGTCTCTTCCCAGCTTCAAATTTCCTGTTTTCGTCGTGTTTTCTACAGCGTATTCTTCGAAGTCTTTACCACTAAACATTCTTATAAGCACTCATTAAAAACTTGAAGCTTTTACCACATATTAGGAGAGATACACGTGCATTGCACGTGGTTATCTGTTAACTTGGTTGTAAAAATGTTTCTTTTAAATCTCAACCTAATGATGTAATATTATCTATGAACTTTTTTAATACTTACATTTATGTACCTTCAGCTTTCATTTTATGTGTTGTTGTAACCATAAGCAATGTGGGCTACAAATTATTGGAAAAGATTATTTGCTTATAAACCGTGAGCAATGTAAGCTACACATTATTCGAAAAAATTATTCACTCATCTAGCAATCAATTTCTTCAATGCCTCAAATATAATAATAAGAGATGACGTAAAATTCTTATGAAGTAAAAAAGAAAAGGGAAGAAAAATCTTCTATCTTAATCCCTAATGACTGTAGAATAAGAAAACCTATCATCATTTAAGAAAACCTCTCCATAAGTTTGCAAAGATAATCACATTGAACTATTAGGTTGCTCAATTCTTATTATTTTAAAATCAATTCATCAAATTATTGGAATAGCTATTACATCCATAATTCTTAAGTTATTTTGATATTAGCTTCTCCAATCAAGAGTAAAAAAAGCAATTAGAGGAAAATTAGTCCCTCAAATTGCTAATTATACCATTAATTTGAATGACTAATTTTAAATAACTTAAGATTGAGGTACCTAACAATAATAATTTTAATGCTTTAATGGACTAATTTCAAAATATGAAAGGTTTAAGGGACTACTACAAAAAATACTTCAATCAATTAATTTTTGTTGATAATTAACTAATTCCATAATTTGGTATCAATCAATTGGTTAATACTTACACATGCAATGCATATTATGTTTACAATGCTAATGTGCTCTAAGTATCTTTCTACTCTTTAGTTGTTTACCAATTCTAATTAGATAAATAATTTTTTATTATTGATTTTGAATGGAGAGAGCTTTAATTCGGAAGTTTAAGCTTCCTTATACTCTTTAGTTGTCAACCAATTCTAATTAGATTAATTTTTAATTAATTAGTTTTGAATGAAGAGAGCTTTAATTTAGAAGTTTAATTTTAAGTTAATAGCTTTAGTTGATAACCAATTATAATTAGGATAAGAATGTTAATATTGAAAAGGATTAGGGGTAAAATTGACCAATAAAAGTTTTTCAAGAACTCCCACTTTTAAAGGGAGTATGATATACTGCTCATTACACACCAAAAGAATGTTGTAGATTTCTAACTAAAGATGAAGAAGTTTGAACTTGTAAACATGTACAAGTGTGTTCGTTTATGTTCTTACCATCAGAATCTAATATGATTACTAGATACAATCACACCAGGGCCGGCCCTGGGGCTGCTCCAGGTGAGCGCCCGCTCAGGGCCCCCAATTTTCGGGGGCCCCAAAATTTTTTTATATAAGTATATTTATATATATATATGAAGAAAAAATGTGGACCGTCTATTTTACACCCAGCTTAATCTCAACCCTCTATTCAAAAATCTTCTTTCAAAAACACATCAGCTCCCAATTCTTCACCTATTCTCATTTCTCACTCAAATTCTCAACTCTCAAACCCTAGCCGCCAGCACCCAGTTCTCCAAATCCAATCCCCCACCGGCCACCGCCACCGGCCACCCATCCTCCTCTTCTCTCTAGTCTCTGCGGCTCAGCGACCGCCGCCGCCGCCAGCCCCCAAATCCAGTCCAGTCCCCATCCTCCATTCCTCCTCTTCCCACTTCCCAGGCTCGGAGGCTCCCAGCCCCCCAAATCCAACCCAAGCAGTCGGCGACCCGCCGCCAGCCCCTGAGGGCCTGAGTCCCGCCGCCCCCAAATCCTCTTCCCACTTCCCAAATCCAGTCCCCTCCTCTCCGGCTCTTCGACTCCACCGCGGTAAGCCATCTATCCTGTTCTGAAACTCAAGGAACTGACGCATTGAAGTCTTACTTTTGCTAGACTTTGCAATAAGATTCTCAATCTGGGTAACATAAAATTGTGATCTTATAAGCAAGGAAACTAAAGGTTACACCAAACTGAAATGTAAAATACTCAATTCTATCTGTTAAAAGAACAATTATATTTCTAGGCTATTGGTTATATTTGTTTATATAAATTTAGGTTTTCCAGGAAAGGCAAATATATGTTATATTTCTGATTTCTAATTTGAGGGCAAAAAGCTAACATTGATGGTGCATCATAATCTCACCCTTAGTAAATATATTGCTGAGAATCTTACGATATATTTTACCAAAAGAAACAAAGTTGGCTATTGATATACTGAATTTCTTAAAAATACGAAATTGTTTTCCAAATGCATGTATTGCTTATAGAATATTATTGACTATACCTGTTACAGTCGCATCTGCAGAAAGAAGTTTTTCAAAATTAAAATTATTAAAATCTTATTTGAGATCGACCATGTCACAAGAAAGACTAAATGGACTAGCTTTGATATCTATTGAAAATGATTTTATTGATAAAATTGATGTTAAGGGCTTAATTAGTGATTTTGCAGCTAAAAATGCAAGGAGGACAATTTTTCGATGATACTTTATATGCTAAAGGCTTCGATATCTCTTATTAAGGTAAGCACAGATACAAGAGAAACATAATATGCAAGTATTTCTTATTGTGGACTATTTGCTCTATTGGAAAGCTTTATTAATGTGGGATTACATGCATTTATCTTATCAGTAATATTCAGGTGACCAAAGAGATGAAGAATGGACAATAGCACTTGAAAAGTATGTCAAAGACTATACAGATGCAAAAAATCAGGTAATATTTTAATGTCTGGTCAGTAACATTTTGTTCCTTAGCATTTTAGGGATTCGAATTGGAATTTATTGATATTTTGTATATAGAGAAAGGCCCCGTGTTTACTTTTCGCACAGGGCCCCTAAAATCTCAGATCCGGCCCTGAATCACACCGTAAATTCTTTGAAGTTTTAACTACTAAACATACTAAGTATCAATCACTACAAAAGTCGAAGCTTTTAGCACTTACACTACCCTTAGACATCACAAACCCAAATGATTTATGGAGTTTCCTAATTAAGGGGGAAAAAAGCCTGAACCTACAAAAACATTTATAGCAACAACAAAGAGGTTTAAGCGTCTAATTGCAACAATAAAACAGCAGTAAAAGGTATTTATCAAATACGCATCATCCTAGATCAAATTAAAAAGATAAGCAAACTAAAATCACCCAACCATAATATCACTCACCTTCAACTGTCCCAACAAATCCACTGCAATTGGTATCTTGCGCAATTACATTCAGCCTTGTTCCACCAAGAATGCTGGGATTTGCATTCACATCCTCAACTGCGAGCTCGATTGCCACCCTTGCCACTCTTCCAATTGTTGAATTGAATGTGAAGAGAGCCCCTACATTTATATCGCTAGTCTTTGAGGGGGCAATCGTGCCATTTTGGCTCGCAGTCAAACCCTCACCAAGAATAACAAAGAAGCACAAAACCGATGACAGCCAAACTGAAGCAGGACCCATTTCTAATGGTGAGAATTTGAATGGTCACAGTGACACGGGTTCTAAATTTTCAAACCCCAAATGAGAAAAGGTTCAACCTTTCAAGCTTTCACATAGAGAGAAGAGAAAACAATTAAAGGGAACCCAGATGACGCTTTTATGAAGACAACTGAGCATCTCATGCTCATGAGGATTTTAGCTAGTGCTTGGAGTCATGCTGAGGAAATTCCAAGCTTCCGTTGAAGAATTTCAGCAGTTGGATTAAAGCATGGGAAATTAAGTTAAAAATTTTCAGGAAGTTTCAAGACCCGTATGAGAAAATTCCTAGCTTCAAATAAGAAAAATTGTGGAAATTCAACTCACCTCAAGGGAAGCTACAGAATGAGAGGAGAACCCAAATCAGAAAACTCCAGAAATCAACAGCGGAGGTCCTCAATCCTTCATAGGGGGAAAAAAGCCCATATGCACTGTTATGAAAGCAACTAAGAATCTAATGCGCTTAGGCAAGTGAAGAAGCGATCAAAATGGCCACAGCCCAAAAGGAAAATATCAGGTTTTTTTTAAATTCTTCAAATGTGCAACAGTCATAATGAAAAAATAAATGGGAATTTAATGCCCAAGCGTAGGCTTAAGCTCCAATTGGAGGATGTGGATAACACTCTACATGATCACAGGAATCTAGTTGGTGGACAAGAAACGGGCAAATGAATAGAGACTATAACTGCTGAGGGTTATGTGGCTTCAGAGGAGGCAGAGAGCAGTTTAGGCCATGTGATGAGAAAAAATAAGAAAAATTCTCCAATGACCAAAAATATGGGACCAATAGAGGGGACAAGTGAGGTGTCCTCCTCCTATTAGATTATGAATCGGACATCATTAATGATGGTCAACTTATTATCCAGTAGGAGGGGGACACCTCACTTGTCCCCTCTATTGGTCCCATATTTTGGGTCCCTGTAGCAAAGCTCTAAAAAGAAGGAATACATTCTTATGGCAAGGGCCATTGTTGAGCTAAGGGATCTCTTTTTCTATATATGGGTGAGTGCCTCTAGTTATCAATCTAAGGTGCTTAAATAAATATAACGTCTGGGGTTTCTGTTAAGGGTGGCACTAAGGACACACCATCAGCCACAACCTCAACCACACCCCCTCTCTTATTTGCTATAGTGCACCGGGCCTCACATGAGATTTTAAATTTTAAATTTTTAAAATTTCATGTGGGGTCCGGTGCACTGTAGCAATGAGAGAGGATGTGTGGTTGAGGTTGAGGTTGATGTTGTGGTTGGGGGTGTGCCCCTATCATTTTCCTTCTGCTAAAATCTCATTCGGTTTTCTTTTTTTAAAAAAAATGAGTGTCTCTTATCAATAAAGGTTAATTGCAAATTGACCATGTAGAGTGCAAATCTTATCAGAACACCTCGTGCGGGGTATCCTGATAGGAGAAAAACTTATGTCAACTTAAGTGGACCATCCACCAAAGTTTTTATCCACTGATGAAACCTAGAGATCCGTGCATCATATGAAGAGACTTTTCATCAATGGATAAAAACTTTGGTGGTTGGTCCACTTAAGTTGACATAAGTGTTTCTCACCCCGATAGGATAGATGGTTAGTGAAATATCTACACTACCCCTCACATGTGTGCGGTTCAAAATGTTCCGCACTATATGGTGTGTTCTCATTGGATCCGTACTCACACTAGTAATATCGTTTTTTAAATTTACTACCTATTTTTTTATTTTTGTAGACAGACTCCATGTGTAATTTTCTTGAGGAGCAAATTGATTTTTGATAAATAGACTCCTAATAATATTAGAGGCATAGTAAAGCACAAAACAGACAGTAAGTCTATCCTCAATTAACCCTAGTAATAATAATAACAGTTGTTACAATGAACTTGTTAACCATTGCATCTCTCCTCAATGGAAGAATTTTAATTCTGTCAATAGCTTAGTGCTGCTTTAAACCAGAAATCATTGCTTAATGATGCCCACAAGTACTATACAATTGTTATCTTGAGAAGTTAATGGCTTTCCGGTGCACAACACTTTCGCAAGATCCCATGAAATGACAAAAAATTTACAAGTTGAAATGGTACCTTTTCCCCTCCCCCACTCTCAAAGAATAGCTCCATACGCTGTTTGGTTAGTTTCTTGAAAATCAAAGAATAGGTAAAAAAAAGGAGTGGGGGTGGGGGTGGGGGAGGAGGAAATCACTTTTGATAATTTTCACTCATTTTCTCAACAAAACTCATGAAATGTGTTTTCTAAGCTTTATATCACATTACCCAATAAGAATGGTCCACGTCACCTCTTTTCTTGATATCAAAATATGAACTCAACAAAAAATATATATAATTATAGAAAATAGGTTTTGTATAATGGTTTTCCTTAATTTATTTGCCAACCAAACATCCCCGTATACCATCAACATTTGTCTTATTTGCAAATTGACCCTTAAATATGAATATGGTTTAATTTAGCTCACATTCTTTAACATTGATATAAAACACCTCTTCTGTTTAACGTCATTAAAATTTCAAACCAAGAAGAAGTAAAAGATAAAAATATCAATCTCTCTTGAAAAGTAAGCTCCTTTGCCCAAATATCCCCCGTCAACCTTATTTGCAGATTTACCCGCCTACCCTGTATATTTGCTGACTTACCCATATGAACTTCTATGTTCTCACATAAGAAGGATGTAAAATTTCAATATCGAGAATGTAAAGTTAAATTAGGAAGTATAAAGATTTTGGAGGTATATCTGCAAATAGGATTAAATTGGCGAAAATACTTTTTGACTCTCCCGCCCTCCCAGCTCGCGCCCAACTCGTAGAAGCGGAACAGGGGGTGGGGTCCAGCTGTGGGCCCCACCCCCCTGTTCCGCTCTCTGCGAGTTGGGCGGAGCTGGGGAAGGCACGAGCCAAAAGCAGGAGAAAGAGATAGGCAAGCAACATGCTAATAAATCGGAAAAGCTTTTTAGCTGCGGCGCCCAACTCGCGGGCGGCTCGCAAGAGCTAAAACAGGGGGTGGCCCTCCTGTGGGGTCCCACAGGAGGGGCCACCCCCCTGTTTAGCTCTTGCGAGCCGCCCGCGAGTTGGGCGGCCGCGAGCTAAAAAGCAATGCTCTAATAAAATACAGAGGAGCATTAACCTCGATTCTATCGTTTGGTGCAGGGCGTACAATCAAATACTTTTGAACGTCAACTTGGCAACCTCCTACATCCAAGCCTAAGTGGCCTGTACCTTGGCATCGTATCATTGTACGATCCTGATTCATTGTACTCCCCCCCCCCACCCAAACACCCCCCCCACCCCCCCACACGACCCAACACACACACCAACAAAAAAAAACACAAAACAAAAGAATAAAAAAAGGGGAAAAACTATGCATACTTCTTCTTCTTTTTTGTTATGAAACGGTGCTATTATATCCTACTTTTTACATATTTGAAAATATTCAGGACCTCTATCATTTTGTAAACTTTTAATAGCTATTACCGTCGTCAATAAATAAAATTGATAGGTCCAATGACCAAATGACCAGAGTGAATTTTTGATAAAAAAAAGGTTATAGATAATTCTTGTTTTGATGGATTACATAATTTTATTTTATATTATTATTATTATTATTATAAATGAATAGCGAAAGCTTGGCATTTACTACCATGACTGGAGGCATATGAGAAACCTTTAATTTATATCCATAATTATTATGATTTATTTTGTAGAAGAGAAGGGGATGGGATTAGTTTCATTTTTAGGACAAAATTACAACCGTCCGTTTCCCCTCCGATGATGCTAAACGAAAATAACAATAACGTTTTCGTCTTTAAATTGATTTTAGACTACCTAACTTACTTACCCTTTTCCTTGTTTCTTGGGGTTCAACATGTGTCTTTCTCCTTCAGAATTATATTGAGCCTCTCATCTCATAGAATAATATTTGAAAAAGAATTCACTCACATAAATCATAAATATCCCATTAAATACATATCCTTTAACTGTTCCTTTCAGGCTATTAACTAGAGAACAAACACATGAAGTACAACTGTTTCTTTCTCTATTTCTTCCATCGGCCATCGATGTAGGTAGTCATGAATCTCTATTGTACATAACTATATTGATAGAAGAAAACTAGTGAGTTATCTTCCAATTCCTAAAGTTGCAGGTCGTCTACTCAAATTTCATTAAAAGACTTTAAACCGCTTCGGAATGAGTATAGATTCTCAACATCATTCCTTGCAGAGAAACCCATAACTTATCAATAAAATCTATCAATTCAGTAGATCCCATAAATGATATTGTTTTTACATAAACCATATAAAAGTATTTTAATTATGGAGCCCACTTAATGAATCGATAGTATTAAGTCATATAAGTAATTATATGTAAAGAATCTCAACTCGTTTTAAACTCCATTATGGATATGGTAATTGTTGAAGCTCATCATTGACAGCGATTATTTATTTATTTATTTATTTTGCTGTATGGAGATAATGTTGGAAAGGATGGAATGAACGTGGACCCATTGTCGACAGAGGCCTAATAAAATATCGCCCGGGTGTGTTTCATGAGGTTGATTCACGGGTTGACTTATTTTTGAGCTCATTCTTTTTCCTTTTCCTCCCTTGAATATAAATAATTAGTAAATTAGAAGGAGAGAGAGAGAGAGACATTTCGGGAAATCAAAAGCTAGGTGTCAAAGTTAAGAGGTGAGAGAAAACGAATTCAAGAAAGAGTAGTAGTAAGGACAAGAGGTGAGAGGGACAGAGAGGCTTAAGCATACGAGTGAACTCAATAGAATGCTAACGTTTCTTAAAAATTATGTACCGGTGGCAGCACCACATTTCTAGTATGGAAAATACAAATCAAATCATACATCTAATAAATTACAAGATTTAACCTTGCGAGCCTCATCTTTCAATGCAAAGCTGCAAGTTTCGTATCAGTTTGGGAAAATGATACATGCACATCTCCGGCCACACCCCCTCTCTTGTTACAGTACATGAGGCCCCACTTGAGATTTTTTTAAAATCTCAAGTGGGGCCTCCTGCACTGTAGCGAGAGAGAGGGTGTGGCCGGAGGTGTGACAGAGGGTGTACCTGTAGCGCCACTCATCAGTTTGTCAGATACAAACAATTTCGTAAGTTCGTAACTACAAATAAAGCTAGTCATTTCAAATGCCATCACTATAATATAGTTATATTTTTTTAATCAACTCGTGAACTCCAAAGAATGCTAACATTTCTTCAAAATTATATATGTACCGGTGGCACCCCAAATTTCTAGTATGGAAACTACAAATCAAATCATACATCTAATAAATTACAAGTTTAAACTTGCGAGCCTCATCGATCGTTCAACGCAAAGCTGCAAGTTTCGTATCAGTTTGTTAGATACAAACAATTTCGTAACTACAAAATAATGCTAGTCATTTCAAATGTCATCACTATAATATAGTTATAATTTCGTTTTAATCATATCGCCTCATTAATACTTTACTAATTATAAATAGGCAAAAGCAAGACTATAAAATGCTTAACGCCATGGATTTATCTAAATTAGAATGGGTCCTCAAATGCATAGCTTTAAATAGCAATAAGTTTTCTTCGCGTTAGTCCAAATAATAGGCTATGGCTTATTATCATTTTGTTTTTGAGGAAAAGAATGTGGCTTCAAAGAGAAATTAAGACCCAGCACACAATGGCTTATTATTTTAAAAAAGAAATCTC